CACTAGAACTTTTTAAAAGAAACATAGTAATGTAATAACCATTATTATGTATTATATATATTTGTTTTTTCTTTGTACTAACACTTAATTATTTTAATCTAACACAATTATTTTGTTTAATGTCCATACGGCCTCGTGGAAGAACACCCACTTGGGTGAACGAGTTTTTTGACCGTTATAAAATAAAGTTGTTATTATTATTATTATTATTATACCCATATTTAGTCATGGTGTGCCTATATATGGTGATGATGGGATGTCACCATGATCATATGTGATATGTCACATACAATTTGATAGTGTGGACATGGTTTTATATTATATTCACAGTATGGAGTGTCACATGTTGATAAGGATGATGACATCTTAATTAAATTTTGGTGACCTTAATATAGTTAATAGTATAATAGTGTAGTTTTACAGTAAGCGCCGTATCCATCTAATATAAGTTGTTCAGCGGCGCTTGATATGTGTGGTCTAGGAAACTCGATCAATGACTATCTTCACCCCTAAGGGTCCCTTCATGTGTGTGCTACCCGGTATCAGCAACTCTCATCGTCCACCACAGGGCTGTCTGTTCCAGTATACCGTGGTATCCCCTACTCGTCTCGAAGGATATACTGGGTTCTTTATAGTGCACACGAGCTATTGTATACACAGGGCCTACGGTTTATAGTCCTTTTCCGAGAAGACTTGTTCTACCACCAGAACCATAGGCGAGTGTGCCGTTCGAACCAGCACCGATATTATGGCTGTAGCTTGCGAGGCCCCTGCTAACCGCTCGTTATAAATCTTAGCTTCTTATGATTTAAAATTTAGTTACTTATCGTTAGTCTTTGTTATTTTTAAAATAAGAAAATAACATAAATTAGTAGGCAATATTAAGCAATTATTTAGAAGTTGTTCAATATTGAAAAATAAAGACTCATTGTTGTCTAGAAAAAATTGATTTAAAAAAAAAATAAAGTAATAATAAAACATAAACAAGAAGCTCTTGTTTATGATTTGAACTCCTCTTGTTACACTTATATATTTACCTACTATAATGAACTTCGTAAAAAAACAGAGCTGTTGAACTTTGTACAGTAATAGTTGTGTGTCATTCTATCATTTATTACAAAGTACAGTGGTATTTCAAATTACAACAGTAGTGTACTTTATTTATTAAGATCAGGTGTGTGATACCGGTACTACTTTCTTGCTGGACCAACAATAGAAAGCAGGTTATCATTAAAAATAAATCTTATGTAGTTTTTTGTAGTTTGCATTCCATATATCAGGTACAGTACATTATGCAGCTCATTGGAGTTTACTAAAGTCTTAGGAATGACATTTACTGCAGGCCAGAAGTAGAACAAGCTGTTGTAGCACAAAACAGGGAATCGGTAGAGATATCATATCATATATATCATATCATATCATTTATGTCACCAGTAAAAACAATAAAAAAAAAAGTGTATGGCTGACTGGCCAGATTGCCCAAAAGCAATGCAAAGTTACTCTCAGTTACTCTCACGGGGCTCTTCTGACAGCGCATACAGTACATTATTCAAGTATAAAAATAGATAACTATATATAAAACCATCTCGTAAAAATTTCATTTGTATGTACAGGAAAAAAAAATAGAATTCGTATGTACAGTATAATTCTTTTATTCAATTTGTTTCATAAATACTGTAGTGTTGTTTGCTATGTGTTGTAAGCAATTCGTGATATGGTAGGGATGTTGTTTTTTTTAACCAAATGCCTGACATCAAAATCAGCAGTAATCCATGCCTAGACTGACTACTATAAATATCTAACCGGTTTCCATATTTTTTTTTGTTATTAGTAAACGTAAACAAATTCATCTGAATCCATGTAAGCTTGTTATTATTAAAATATTATATAGAAATAAATTCATATTTCCCTAGAGTTAATCATGCTTGTTTTATAGACCTTACAGTTTCATCACAGTCCCAGGCCTGATAATTTGATGTGAATACAACTTTTCACTATTTTCAATTTTAGTCATAGGATATATAAATACTTAAGATAATTTGCTATAATTTTAGGTGCACTTGCAGTATCACGTTTTGCCAAAACTAGCAGTCAGTGACCAAAACAATATCTTCAATATACAGAAGTGCATGAACACATTTGAAACAATAATAAAATAAAATTTTCTTTAAAAACAAAATTCAGGGAATCAGTTAATTTATTAAATTGAAGATAAATTCTGTGTAATTTTGTTAGCAACACATTTAGTATGAAAACTTTTAAATTGAAGATAAATTTCTGTGTATTTTTGTTGGCAACACATTTAGTTTGAAAACTTTCACATTTTTCAAGTAAATCTCTGTTAAGTTAAAACTGAATGTTTATAGAAAAATCGGAATTCCATAGCCAATTGAAAGTAATTGAATCCAGTTTTCCTGTAAAATTCAAATTCAGAGAAGATTTTGTTGTAAATATCAAGCTATAGCCTAACAGTGTTAAAGAGAAAGTATATGACAAGGGTTTTAATTTGTGTAATTTGTTTTCAATTAATAACCATTCGCCCACTCTGTGTTATAGAAATTGTTTCCATTCAGTTTAACAACCCCTCGTATATCTTTAATTTGAAATAGTTTCTTGGACTAACAATTTTTTTTTTGTCGACACAAAATTTCTGACCTGACAATGATATAGACCATGATAAACTTTGAATCTTAAGTGCAAAATGCTATATACCCAACATTTACTTTATCTTGAAATCTTTGTAAAGTGAACCAAAGTGATTTATTGATAATGCATAGAAACATTGGCTATCACGATTTTTTTACTCCACAGCATTTTTCCTAGATGAGGGACGTAAAATCTTGTAACAATTCTAATTATTTTTTTTAAGTACTTTCTGTAATTCATTAAACTTTTAACCCTGGGGTCCACCTTAAAAAAAGGGCGATAAACGTTTGTTGGAAATCAACTCTAGTTTATGTGTACAAAGTTTTCTGCACGTCCATTCAAAACTGGCGATGCTGGATGCTTTTAAAGTTATGGTGACAAGAACAGCTGTGAGGCTCTTGGGTAGCGCCTTGCGCAGACCCAAAAAAAAAGCATCTAGAAGATTTAGTGCTATATCTGTTAGCTTAATAGTAGACAGAATTAATTAATAGACATAGCTCTATTTTCTGTTACGCACCTATTAATAATTTTTTTTTAGTAGATTAATTTTTTTAAGTAGATTTAGGTAATTGCCTCATTTACATATAAGACCAAAAACTACTAACATGTCTATTTAATACTTCATTCCATTTTTAATGCCAAATGAACAAATAATAGTGAACAACAGCCGTCTATTACTGACCTTAATTAGATAGATTACTATGGTAGACTTTCTTGATATATGAGTAGATGTTATAGTATGTAAACTGCTGACTTTTTTAGTGGACAGCTAGTGGATTTAACTGCACAAAGTTTTATTGTAGTTTACTAATAGGCATTGTAATATAAATCGCTGGTAGTTCACTAGTAGATCTCCATACAGTTCGCCCTACAATTCGAGACCACCCTTAGGACCTGAAAATTTGTGGCGGCCTCGGGGTTGGACTCTAATTAGAGGGCTGGCTTTGTGTTAAAAGATTGAAGATTGTTATTTGGGTCTTTGGAAAGTTGTCTTGAATTAGAGGGGTCTCGGAATAATTAGAGGGGGTCTGGAGTTGGAGGGTGCACAGTAGTAGTTTGTTAATATTTAAAATAGTTTTTATCTAGCTTTTATAAACTTTTTCACAGTATGTCTCGTTAAGAACCTCTCGTTTCTCATTAAACTTGATTATTCTGACCTAATTAAGAAATGTTCTGATTTTAATCTGTCGTCATATACCAGTGAGGTTCATAACTTATCTTGTTACCGATTGGGATAATCTAATTACTGGGCCCATTTCTGAATATCTCACTGTCAAATGCAAAGGAACTTCTTAATTATATATTGAGTACATGTGTTGATCGATGGTTAATGCAAATTCAATTCTTTTGTAGACGTTAAAGACAAATGTGTCTGAGCTATTTAAGAAAATGTGAGATGCACATTGCCTCAATTTTTTTTAAGTGGAGATTGTCACAACAACAATAATAAATGTGAAATCAAATGTGGGGCCCATTTTTTTATATTAAACTGTCAAAATGTAAAGAATTAATTAATAATTAAATAAAAAGAGACTTTGTTGATCACTGGTTAATGCACATTCAATATTTGGTAGACGATAAAAACGATTAATTGTGAGATATACATCACCCCATTTTTTTTTAATGGTTGTCAAAATCATAACAATGATAAATATATATATTTAAAAAATTATGCACCCATTTCTTAATACAAACTCTCAGAGTGCGAAGGAACTTCTTTATTGTATAAAAAAGTGTATGTGTCGGTCGATGGTTGATGTAAAGTCAATCTTGGGTAGATGATAAAGACAATTCGTTAAAGCTATAAGAATATGCGAGATATAGAGTGATGATTGCCAAAACGATGATTTTAGGAGTGGAGTTGAAAAGCTTGGTTGCTAAGATGCTTGTTTTAGTCTATGAAGAGCATCTTGTGTGTATGTTAGTCTTGTGACTTTTAAGAGTGACGAAGTTCACTATTTGGCATATCCTTGGATTGTCTAAAGCATTAAAAAAAACAATTACAACAATAATAAATATGCAAAAAAAAAAGATTCAGGGGGCCATTTCTTAATAAAAACTGTCCAAATACAAAGGAAATTCTCAATTATATAAAGATTATGTGTGTTGTTCGATGGTTGATGCAAAGTCAATCTTTTGTAGACCGGAAAGACTGAGCTATCTATGAATATAGATAGATATGCGAGATATTCATCGCTCCACTTTTTTTCTGTAGTGGTAATTTTCAAGATGGTAACAATGATAAAAATGAAAAAATAACGACAATCAAATTTCTGAGTCCATTTCTTAATATTGATCTGTCAGAAGCAAAGGAACTTCTTAATTATATGAAGAGGATGTGTGTTGACTGATGGTTGAAGTAAAAATGTAGATAACGATAAAATTGACTTTGAACCATAGAAAATATGGGATACAGTATGCAATGACCACTTTTTTTAGTGAATATCAAATTGATATAAATGAACCTTCTTGGGCTACAGTCACTCGAGTGTGTCCATAACTGCCCCTGTTGTGGACAGCTAGAGTAACTGGTACCAGTTAACTGGGTAGCTCAGGCATGAAGAGACTTTTAGGGGAGAAGCATTTTACTGTACAAGAGTCCACACTTTGAGCGCTTCGAGGCTTCGGTATAAAGCGCTCTATAAATTTAATTACATTAAACATTACTTATTTGAAGGTTTAGAAACTGATTCTCAAAAATTATTTTCCACATCTGGTGACAAATAGTTTACCTGGACGATAAAGTTTATTACTCGTAATAAAACACAAATATTAATTGCATATGTCATGTAAGACAATGTTCTTTATTAACAAATATATTCAAACATTTTACATTTTCACCAACTTTACACTTCTAAGAGATTATTTAAAGGTCTGTTCACACCTGTTTTTTAGGTGATAAATATTTGTAATATATTCTGCTCAGTTTCAGTAAAAACTCATGATTATAGTTCTAATGATGCATCTTTCAAAAAAGAAGTATCATGTGTGAAACTGAGATATTTTTAAACTAAATTCTGATGATACTCTAATAAATATATGATGTGTAGGTTGCTATATTATAACAATGCATTAGGCAACTGTATTGTTATGTACACAAATTACTGCATTAGAATGCTACTTACAACAGCAGATGTTTTACCACCACCCAACATGCCCACCACTCAACATGTCCACTATCAAACACATCCAACACCCAACATGCCCACCATCCAACACACACACACCACCAAACATGCCCGTCACCAAACACTCCTCCTACCAGATATACGCAAGTAAAAATGCTGCAACATAGCATTTGCATGCACGAATATTAGAGACATGTCTCCTATTTTTATGCATAGGCCTACGATATGTGCAGACAAATATAACTATTCATGTTTAATCTTATTCTGTGCATATTCATATTTTTAAAATAATAATATTGTGAAAGATGTTTTTGATTCATTAATAATAAATTTAATAACGTGCTCTATACAAATTATACAATAATAAACTTCATAACTCTGATGTTCATAATTTATACACACACAATTCTGCAGCATATTTTTACTGTTAATTGGATATCAAAACACTATTGATGCTAAAAACAATTAAAAAATACAATTTAATTTCTTTGTATCTTTGAAAGTTGATAATAATAAAATTAGTTTTTCAGTGTCCATTTGATTTTTAAAAAGAGGGTTTTCTATATTTAGACAGTGACGCATCTTTTAATATAAATAACTAGCAGAACTTTCATCATTCATTCTTTGTTTAATTTTACATACATCACACACACACACACATGATAAAGTTTGTATTTTATCAAATTTATTGTACAGTACAGTATAGATTTAACTATCCCATAGTTCAACATTTCATTCCCAATTTAGCATTGGTTACAATCCATCACACCCCGAAGACTGTTTGATTTGTATAAAGTGTTAAATCTCGGCAAGAAGTACGGTACAGGTGCGTCATTATCACTATCCTCATTCTCTCGTTCCTTTGTCTCTAATTTGGTTGTGGTGGTGAACATTGTGCGTTGTGACACTTTGCTCACATGTTTTTGTGTGGTGTCACTCTTAGCCGCAACGTTAAATGACAACTTTCTCTCATCTATATTAATGTTGATATGATTTGGTACCGGTGGATTATTTTGAAATGGGTAGCTACTCGGCAAACTTGTGTACCTTACCGATGATGAAGAGTTTGATGAATTTGACGAATATCCGCTACACGAGCTTAGTGGTTTCCCACGACGTGGTTTTGTATGTCGTTCAACATACGGCGGTGTTTGTGTCTGCTGGTCTACAACATCAACGCGATCTAGATCACACGTTTGTGTTTCTGCTTTGCGTAAAATCGGTAACTCCCCATTACATACAGTTGTCTTTATATGCATTGGTAGAGTGTTTGATATAACATTTGGATTTGTTAGTTTCGTGATCTCGATTTTTTTCGTAAGCTCTGCTGGTGGGGGAGTAATCTTCACAGTGCGTATGTAGTATTTCAGAAGTCTTCGTCGTTGAATCATCAACGCAATTATTAGTATTACAGCAAATATAAAAACTAATATTGCAGCCAGGACAGTGACTGTTTTCCAGTTGAGATTGGAAATATACTCATCGGTTGTCATAATCTCCATGCATTGTTCACGTAAGATAGCCTCGCGCATTGTAATATTATGGAGTACAATGTTGACACACACTGTGTACTGGGTTCGTGGAAGTAATCCCTGCAAATAGATAAGATGAAATAATAAATTATTGTCATAAAATCACAGTTTAACAATCAATAATATATATTTTTTTTTAATTAATCGATAAATAAGTAATGAAATAGATAACATCAAAAGTGAATTATTATAATTTGTAGGCATTCTCTTACTAAGGACTGACAGATCAGATACTTCTTATTTACATACAGAATTTGATAAGAGTATATAGGAGGTAAATTATTTTAAGGTACACTCTGCTGCAGAAATTCATTCAACAATGGTCGCAAAACCTTATGTTAAATTAAAGAATTTCTTTTTTGTAAGTGCAATCTCATTTGTTATTTTTTATTTTGTTTTGTTTTTAGGCTTAAGTCATATTCTGGAAGGACAGTAAAATTGAAACAAGTTGTAATTATGTTATTTGAATTCATTGTGACATATTTCTGTCATAGTTTTTATATTTTTCTTAGAAATCAACTTTTACAAGACTGATTGTAATAAGCCCTGTCCCTTGCATATTGTTCCTACAGTAGGTCCCACAAAAAAACGGCAGTTTGAAATCGTACACCAACACATGCTTTTGAAGGACAACGGGTGTTTGCGATACACACGCGTGTTCTTGGCCCTGTTCTGATTGGTCAATTGTTAAGTTTGATTGAAGTACTCAAGAAAGGTCTATTGCAATATTTAGGTTACAAGGGAAACAAATTGAAAACCAAAAAAAAAAAGAAGCAAAGGAATTTACATGTAGAGGAAAAAGACCTCTATGTTGCATTTAAACTTTGCAAGGTCATATGAATAATAAAATAATTTAATAGGTCATAGTAGTTATTTTAATAGAACTCCGATTATTAATTATCTACTTAGTTTTTAATCTTTATATTTTTATGTTTATTATACAGTAAGCAAATTGATATCGTTGGTTTTTAAGAATGTTTATTTAAGCTCTGTCTAGATTATCAAATTTTCTTTAACAAAAAAACTGTTGTATGGCCAAATATAGTCATAATGTTCCTACATATGGTCATGACCATATTTAGGCATGTCACATCATTTTAAAATTGTGGCAAAGACAAGCCAAACCAGTCACTCGTCGAAAAAATCAATTTTTAGTTATTAATACAGCGTTTAAAAGTAAAATGAGAGCTATAAAATGGTGAAAGAATCATTTAAATCTGACACTTCGTTATGAAGTTACACAAGTTTAAACATACAGCTGTTTAAAGAACAATATTTGAGAAATCAGCCTTTAAAGTTTACGATTTCAGGCATTTCTTAGGCAGAAACCTTCACCAAATCGTTAAAAATTGTTTTTTTAACATTAAAAATGAGGAAAATAACAGCATAGCATGATGTATAGATATATAAAGGTTAGTTTAGTGCAATAAAATAGATTTCCAAAATTTTGACATTCCAGCATGTTTTGGCCATTATCTCCAAAACAGGATTTGCGACGAGTGACTGGTTTGGCTTGTCTTTGCCACAATTGTGAGTTCTGGATAGGACTTTAACAGAGTTGCTCTTTAAATCTGTTTAAAATGTTACTGTCCAACAACAAAGCATTCAGCCTCCGTTGCAGTGTAAATACTGTACAGTAATAATCGCAAACTGTTTACGTTCTAAATTTGTTATTGATGATTCCAATACTAATAAACTTTTACAAACTTCTCAATCTCTCAGTTTGTTTTGTCAACTGTCAACGGATCTAAGAATAGAGAGAAAATGCAGGTTTTACGATTTGGATATATAATCCTTATTTACACAGACAATTTAAACTTGATATATTGTAGAGTCTGCATTCTACAGATAGTTTCTGAACTTTGATAGTTACTCCGTGTAATATACCAAGCGATAATTATATTAACGATTGAATGATAAACGAGTTTCCTAATTGCCTCTAGTTTTTCACAGATTAGAGTCAGCGAATCATGGAGAAGGATGACAAGGGAAGTATATTGATTATAAATGTGTTGCCCGTCTCCGACATTTAGATGGCGATCTGGAAGCTCATACAAGCTTAGCGTACTAGATATACCCATAACGTTAAAAGCTTTTCCACAAACTCTTAAATCTGTATTTAAAGATTGTAGTTTAATTCATGCGGGATTTTAAACCGATATTTGTGTATCTAGATTTGCAGGGGTTTATCAGTAATAATTCCAGGCATTTGGGAATATTATGCCTTAATTGATCATTTTGTTTGTTTACTATTTTCCATTTTATTTTAGGAATCGTAGCTGGCGGTGACGATTTCAAGGGTTCAATGATTTCATTTTTTAATCTGTCGTCATTTATTTGATAATCATGTTAATTATATCATGTAACGGAAATAGGTTTAAAATATTTTTCTTGAACTATAATGCTTGCACAACTAGGAGTTAGCCAGATTCCATAGAATTTAATTGTTTTTTATGTCTGTAAATGATTAATACCATGAATTTGATTTGTCAAAATGTACCACATATCATATTTATTATCGAAAAAAATACTTACAAAAACCCAAGGACCGAAGGCGGAAAAACAAAACAGATACTGTGTTTACTTGAATAAATTACCCAGGGCATTTATTGTTGAGAAGCATTTTTGAGGGGGGGGGGCGATAATTCGGGGGAGGAATTTATTCGAGGGAGGCATTTATTTTTTTTTTGCTATTTTTTTTGCTATAAAATGTATGTTGTACTTCAATAAATGACCCTTAGTTTCACTGCAAATGTCAAACACAACACATAATTACTGTCGAAATGTGTTAGTGTGTGATCAAGATAGAAAAAATGTATATTGCCTCCATTTAGATTTATTTACAGTCACTTAGTCGGGCGTTTATTCAAGGTAAAAATAAATGCCTCTGGGTGTTTATTTGAGGGAGGCGTTTATTCCAAATGGGGCTCTAGAGGGGCGTTTATTCAAAGTGGGGCGTTCATTCAAATAAATATGGTATCTGGGCAAAAGGCTTGTGTGAAGACTATTTCACAGTGGCACAATTAGGAATACCATACATTTGCGGTGGGGCAGATTAGGGCATGATAAGAATGTGAGGGGAATTAGCTGGGGCAATGAAGTGGTATGTGATGATGTTGAACTCAGAAACTTTTTAGTGGGATGGGAGTGCGTGCACAAGAACACCCATTTCTCCCTGAAGCTTGGCTTCGGTGGTGTTGATTGGTCGGTCGCATTGCGGAGCCTTCACGATTGTGCAGGGGACTGCTAAGCAATAAAACTATTGCATGGAAAACAGATATAGCATGGAGGTATACTGACGTATCTTCATAGAGATAGCAATGCCACATCACTTTCCTACAGGGTACCAATTGGATAGATACTCTCGGGTAAAGATTAAAAATTTCTTAAATCTTCTCATTTTGTATTTCTCTTCACAATCATTTATTTCCTCAACATTCTAAAAATAAGTTACAACTTTTAATTAACAAATACCATATATTGATTTGACCAACAGGTTGCCTGCTCACTGCTAATTACGCTAATCTATACAAGTTAATTGAATCCTGTTTACCTACTTTGGTTTCAATTTCCTAGATATTTTACATAAGTGTCGTCTTCCTTTCACCCTTTAACGTTTTAATCATTCAGTCTTCCTTTATGCCATCCCTCCTGTCTCACACCCACTAATACCAAGAGGGTTGGGCTGGGGGCCCCATCATACCTATCTGTTGTTTCTATTTTATACATGGTATATGTCTGTCATTTCTTCTTATATTTATTTTATTTTTTTATTTTACTGTACAGTTAATTGTATCTGTATATCACCATGGCATTTATAAGGTTATATGTTGCTGTTAAATTTGTGTCTGCCATCACACGTGTCTCTCAAATCAAACTTGAGTTTTGTCCCATTTTTTATTTTCTATGTTACTGTGCAGATCATGATATTTGTATATTCCCATGGCTTTTACAAGATTATATTATTCTTAAATTGTGTCCCATCACTTTAGAACAAATACCTCTAATCGATCCTGATTTTGTTCCATATATTTTCTTTTTTGCGCTGCAGATAATGTTATCTGTATATTACATGGCATTTACAAAATTATTTTATTGTTAAATTTGTGTCCGCCCATCACTTACAGCATGTGTCTCTAATCGACCACGAGTTTTGTTCCACACAGCTCTTTCTTTAAAACACACTCATTCACTATTTGAAATCGAATTAAATAATGTTATTCTCATGCAACATAAAAAATATCTACAGAACTTCAAGGGTTATGAGATACTTGACTCTAGTTTTGATTTAAATTGATGCAAGTTTTTGGAAAAGTTATTAAAGAAGCGCAACATCAGGATAAGGAATCGTGCACTGCCGCGCCGCACACCGGTTCCAGAAACCTTCATCTGCCGGATTCAGAATTCACTTATACCCATTCTGTGTTCTTTCAAAACCATTATGATAAGTTTAAACAAGCCCCAAAAAACATGATTATCCTTGAGTGCTGCTGAACTTGCTAGAATTTGGACATAAAATTGGCAATGTTCCCCATTTTCTTTGTGATATTCCATTTATAATCATCATTTTTTGTCCTTTAACGTCCTTGTGGAGTTCAACCAGGAGTAGGTTAATTTTGATAATTTATTGGGTTGTTGAAAGCAATTCCATGGGTGTTGGGGTTCCAAAAGGGTACAAAAAAAATCCGTTCAATTTCAGTGATTCTCTAGTCCAGTGGTCGGTGGAATAGCGATTGAGGTTTCTATCTCTCAACAAGGATAGGAATTTAATTTCCAATCTGGTCAATTAATTACATATTTCCTTGGAAAACATTGTCCCTACACAGAAAATCAGGGACTTTAAACTAAATACAGTTACCCTATACATAGTACAGAAGGTTGTTCGGTTATTATTTGAGTTTAGTGAAGTGTTTCAGTTGGACTTTGCAGAGAGGCAAAATAGGATCATTTATGAATAATCACTAATTTAATTCAAATGTATTTTGGATTTAACCATCTTTCTCTCTTACAAAATATTGTGTTTACATGTCTTTATGTAAAATATGTTTGCAATTTGTGTAAAAACAAGCAATGATTCAACCAGGCGTTATCCCCAATTTTTGTACTTTACAATTTATAGTTTTGCTACCACTGCATCCTATATTTGTATTATTAAATATGACTGTTTCTAAAGTTGTTGAAATTATTAGCCATGCAGTTTAAAATGTCTGTTAGAATGAGTCAAAGTTGTCTGCTATTAATTGGTTAGCCTTGCCCCCCTAGCTATTCTATCTTTATCATTGTCATCTTCAACGATTGTCAAAATAATTATTGTATCAATTCGTATGGACAGTGGTTTTTATTTTACACAGATCACTTGGTTATGTTTACTGTACTTGCATATATTCTATAATATCATTATTATTTATATCATGATAATTTTAATGTTAAATCATCAATGTCTATGCCATTATAGTGTCATAATCATTATTATTATCATATTGTCAATCTGTCATTATTAATCACCCTCACCATTGAGAGGGTCAACATCAACATTGTCATTGTTATTATCACCATTACCATATAATCATCATTATTATATCGTCATTAGACTTTACCATCGTCATTCACATCTATATATTCAATATCATTAACATCATCATATCAACATCATCATCATCATAATCATATTGATCATTATCATATTATTCATCATTAACATCAATATCATCAGCATCATCAGTGTCATCATCATCTTCATCACCATCATCATCATCTTCATCACCATCATCATCATAATAATTGCCATGATTGTCATAATTATACACACAGGTCAAATATTTAAATTAATTTTGTAAGTTAACACAAATGGCATACATTCAACTATACTGTAATTTCATTTTCGTTTATCTTATCTGATTTTGAAATACAGTTATATAAAACAAATAAGATTAAATTAAAATTACAATTACAACTGACACATGTATGTACGTAAGATAAGCATATGTTAACATATCTACGTTTGAATCATTATTGATGTTATAAATTCATGACAGGAACATTGTGAAACACAGCAATAAAGAGGGCGGATGAAATAATGTTAGACGTGTCATACAGGTGCTATTGGCCACCTGTTGCTCACATGATATTTGTATTCTAATGAGGTCAATGTAAAAGCAATTAGCATCTTCCTGCAGTAGGAGCTTCTCTTCAGTTCTTTTGATTTGTTCTAATTCACTTTTCAGACTTTCATTTTTTGTACCTCATTATATTTTTTTATTTCATTTAGTCTATTATTTATTATTCTACTGCAGAATATCTTTTATGTTACAGTAGTTGTGTTTTTCAAAGTGGTGCACGTACAAAAAAAAACAAAAAAAAACAAAAAAAATTTAAAAAAAAACATTAAAATAGAAAGGAAGTTTGAGAATTTTGAAAAACTATTCATTTAAAATGATCAGGTAATTTATTAACTTCCAATCAAACAGACCAAAACAATAATTTTTTTTTTTTGTAGAGTTACATACTTTTAAGTAATAAGGTCTTAAATTGATTACCCGCAAAGTTAAGGTTCTAGCGAAGAATTTAGGGCAGTAGTAAACGTCAGTCCAATTTATTAGCTCAGAACACTGACCGTAAATCTGTAAAATTCATTTCACAAAATTTGTGTGCCAATTTTTCTAAATAAATTTTATGGAATGTCCACATTTTTTAACAGATTCATTTAACAGCAAACACAAAATTTACTAAAATTTAAAAAGTATTGTTATTTTTTGTTTTTCTTAATAGATAAACTAATGTAAAAATATATTTGAATATGAATATTGACTTTTACATAACTTCCTTGCTTTGTTAAGCCCTAGATAAATGATTTGAAATATAATTATTGTAATCATTGAAATTGGAAGTTGCCGACTTTCTGGCAGCAATGCAGGACAAAACAATCCAGAAAACTATGGGGTCCAAGGTTACGACTTGACTTCGATAGATAGAAATACTTTTGGGGATAATTATATTTTATCATCCTTTTATTTTATCAACTGTACTGGGTACAATTTGATCAATAAACACAGTGTTTTGAATGTTTTATTTTCCTAGGTTTTTAAATTCTTATAGATGTATGTTTTTGTTGTATTACCATATATTTTTAATTTTTCGTAATTCATTGCGATTTTGACTCCATTAGAATTGGGCTGATCTCCAGCCTAATGGATGTTCCTGATATTCTTGTGTGTGTAGTTTTAGTATCAAATATTTCCAACCAATAAGCTTGGTCAATTGTAGTAATATTCTATATTTGATAATAATATAGATTATTGATATGTAAGAGTTATTTATATATTTATTCTTTATATTGTCGAACCTGTTCTGTAGGAAATCTACTGTTCTCCCACAGGGCCTAGTACAAAAAAACAACAATCACATTCATATTCAAGAAACAAGTACCATACAGAAACTGGATAAAATACAGAAAAATCTTTATCGTAAAAATTTAAAAAAAAAAAAGATGAATCCAAACAATAAAAATTGGCTAATTATTAGAAATAAGAATTGCTGTTATTATGATTTGAGTTATTATGGATATAGTCATGATAATAATTGTAAAAATTATAATATGACATTGAAGTGGTAATTATTTTAAAAGACAATAACTTACTGTGATAGAGTAATTATAGACGCTTGGATGAATCAAAGGGCTGTACAACGTTAATCCATCGCCAAACATATTATATTGCACGCGGAATCCTGAAATCTTGATCGGTACCTTTGGCCCTGTCCAGGCCACAGTCACGGAGTCCGCTGAAGCCTGTGTCATCGTAACATTCGACGGTGGTGGAAGTAAGTGTTCGCAGTTTTCACCAACATATAAATGCGTGCAGAGGCAGCGGACACCGTGCCTAATGTCATACGTACATCGACCACCATTGTGGCAAGGGTTCTGTAAGCACGGTCGCATCAATACCATTGGCAGTTGTGGCTTGCTGGTCTTGAAGTTTTCCAGTAAGCGCTCATGTAGTTTTGGAATTTGAGTCACTTCTCGGTCAAAGTGTGGCCATGTGTAGCGAGAATTCTGATGAAGAAAATGATGATAATCGTAAAAATTATTAAAAGAAAATATCAGATGAGAGCTAATTAATTGTGGTATTGGTAAATATTCATTGAGTAATCCTTAATGGGCTATTTGATGTTTAATTAACTTTTTAAGATTTTCATTAAAAACAACTTTTGTAATTACATTTTACGAAAATAATTATAACCATTTTATTTGCATTTCATTTTTGTAGTAGTTTCACTTTGAGGCAGCTACTTTATGTTGGAAGAACATGAATAATAAGTAATTTTAGTTTCACATACACAAACTAAATCTCTTTCGTATTGAATGTACTGTTTGCCATTCGTTTTCTCTCACAGCAACCTTGCAACACAATATGCAATGCATTGATAATAACCCAATTGTGCACTGAATGAAAGAACCCATATCTCCTGATAAAACATATAAACAGAACATAATGCGTCAGTAGGTGTATATTCATAGCTTCATTTCCGATCTCCTAGCGATATGGAGACAGTAAAGCTGATTGGATCCTCCACAGGATGTTGGAATTAAAGGGCATTCACTTTTTATAATATTGGAATAGAATTTCATACCTTGGATGTAATTCGTAAATAATAATACACGTAATCCGCTATTTACTCACATATAACTTATTCACTCTGTAGGTTTCTGTACAAACGGCCATGGGAAGACATCACTATTTACTTGTACATAATTATAACCAATACAGACTACAGAATCAAAATTTAATATTCAAGATAACTTTTTTGTCTAAAATACGGTAATAGAAATTCATTTGAAACTCTAGACAAAATTTTTTTTAAACCCAAATTTCAACATCACTGTTACATACATAAATGCTTGTAAATATAAAAATATATAAATATAAGTACTATATATATAATTAAGACACATTTTAAAACACTAATACATTCAGTATTAGAGAGTTAGTGTTCAAGAGACTAAAATGTAAAAAAGAATAAATGCTAAGGTAAATGCTAAGATCACCAGTAAGAATAGTGCTAAAAGGTTTGACAGTTAAGTAAACATTTTTTTCTAAATTCAACCAGTTGAATTTTGTTCAAACTTCAAAACAAAAAAAATTTCATAACCATGTATACTGAATAAGCTTCAGATTAATTATTCATTTACAAACATTATATTTATAATAAGAAATGAAATTAAAAATTTGAAATTTTTACTTTGATTTAATTCATAAAGAAAAATAATAATGGGTGAACACACATTGGCTACTACCAGTTTAGCTGACTAGCTGTGCTGCCCTCACATAATTATAGTCACTAAGTGCTTGTTTTGTTTAGCGAGTACTCATGGGCTTTCGCTTGAAGTGGGTCACTTGCTTTGTATTCCCGAACTTAATTGTGGAATAATGCATTGTTCAAACACACCTGTTACAGGTGTTACATAACCATCAATCAAATCATTTTAATAATATTGGAATGGACATCAGATAGGAACGTTATTATGAATCATTATTTTGCTACTTTGTTTCAGGCCTGGGATTTGAAATTATTTTTTGGTGAGGGTATTTATTATTTGCTATTTACTATCCTATATACTAGTGGTAAACAGGCTGGTAAATAATAAAGATTTGAGGGGGTTTTTTTTGTTTATGTAAAAGAAGTAAAATAAATTTTTTCCTGCCATTTTTTACCTTGTCTTAAGCTTTTACAACAATCTTTCAGATCACCATTATTTTTATATTTAATGGAAAAATTATTGATTTTTTTTTTAAATGGCAAATACTAAATTTTTTCATGGGGATCTAAAATTTAAGGTGGGAACGTGAAACTTGCGATTCATTTTATTTTACCTTATTGTCACAACAATTAGAAACAAAGCAAATCATTATATTTGGTCTACAATAGAATCGTAAGCAAATAATTAATTGATATCCTTCCATTAATTACATAATAGCTCTCATTTCCTACAATAGGTTTTCTGACTTAACATTATTGTTCATATTTTTATTGTTTTTGTCTTAATTGTTTACTTTATTTTCTTAATTAGTACTTAATTATACTAATTTTAATATAACTATTTCTTCATCTATTTCTCTATTGCAAAAAATGTAGTCCACAAACAGAATATGTATTATTATTATTTTTTTTTTTTCTAAAATCATCAGTGTTGATTGAACATAACTATGATTATATTATTAGAGATAGAAGAAATACCTTACAAATTTAGGAATACTTCTTTAGTGGTACCAAGGATGTATCCAAAATTTCCATTTTCCTATGTTCTAGAAATACACTTTTTGTTATAAGAACACATTTTATAAGAACACTGAGGCTTGAAATTGCTTAAAAATTAAGAACAAATTGAGGCTGAGGTAAAATTACAAATGAGGTTTTATTTTTTAAAGCCAAAAAATTAAATCTGTACATTATGTGCAATAGGTGTCACTATGTAATACCCTCTATAGTACAATTTATTGTACCTATCTGACATTTGGGTCCATATTTTGTGGAGTCACTTTCACCTACATTGCAGTACAATGTATACTGCCGTACAATTTAATTATTTTTTGTTTACTGATAAACACAAAATAATCGATTTTTTAAAACCGTTTTTTTAATGAGTACCAGACAGCCTGCTGGCATTGCAACTGCATTTTAGATTTTCGAAAATCGGTTTTCGTGACGGAAATTACGTCACCATTTTGTTTATACAACACGATGTTTTTCTAACTGTATAGGACAGTATCTATCTCATTCCTGTCGTCATGATGACGAGGAGTAAGATACGATGTGGGGCGAGAAGGCAAATGTTTTTGGCTGTGCTCATCGGCACAATGGACCTTTCCTCTAAGTTCCGCCCCTTGGATGTTGTTGCTAAGGTCCCACAAGACGGCAGTGTTAAAACATACGCGAACACGTGCGTTTGTGGGACAACACGTGTGTTTGTAAGACGCGCGTGCATTTCTAGCGCTGTTCTAATTGGTCAGTTGTTAAGTTTGATTGACACTCTGGAAAGGTCTATTATGAACGACGACCAAACGAGGACAACGGTAGACCCAAAAGAGCGGAGAGTCCTAGGCCCAATATCCCCCAACCTCACAAAATAATTACAAAACGAAATCGTCACTCCTCATGTTTGTTGACGTTTTTAGCTTGTAGGCCTAGGACATGAACAAGAGGACAAATTTTTTTTAAAGTTCGTGCCTATTACGATCTAGTCTTTGCAGTGATTGACCTGGAGGTCACATTTCACCTGATAATCGCTTTTTTTGTGTTGCAGCTAAAAGGTGCACAGCCAAAATCGGTTATTTGCCATTCAAACTCGCTATCCATTGCGTGTTTTTAATCGATTTTTTTTTAATCGCTTTTTTTAAACTGGTCCTGTATCTACTGCGAGAAAAAAAGTGATTTTCAGTCGATTATTTCTTTTCAGTAGAAACAGGCCCTGAGTCTGGGCAAAATTTTACTGGTTCTTATAAAAAACAAAGTGTAGTGTAGTCTGTCTTAGATTTAACCTCTGTACAATATGAAAAATTATATACTGTAACAACAAGCAATTCAGTAATTCAATTTTTAAAGGTTTTGGCTGATATAACATACTTTTCCTAATATGGTTCTCCAGTTGCCCATATTAAGCATGTCCCGTTGTAGTTTTTGTAGAATGATTCACTGGCAATTTGGTTTATCTCATTTTCTTATTACATTGATTTGGAGATACCACCTTGCCAAATTTAGACCCTCTCCCCATAACTGGATATCATTAAATTTACTTTAAATACAACATACAGACAGTTCCGACTTCCTAATGTGTTGAGTCTTTGACCTGGTAACCTTTCAGCTGTAGCCTGGACAGCTTATTGCACATTAACTGACGCGTTTTATAACCATCCATAACTATATAATCATAAGATTACTTATTTTACTGACAGCACCAATATCCTTGCCCCAGAGCAAATTATCTTGCAAGGTTTATGTTGAAAAGTCTTCCCTTGAAAAAGTGTTAGGAAAACTGACTGATCTGTATTTAATCTTTCAATAGCCAATAGTTCCATGCTAGATAAATTGTTCACAGAAAAAGGATTATGTACGATGAGTTATCTTGTCGACAGGTTTCTGAAGAATGTTGTCTGGAAGACTTGTTAGCTGTGGAATCAATATCAAAAGAAAAACAAACACAATCGTTTCATGTCAAACATAAATGCCTGTCTGGGAAGCTATGGTGTCTTCCAAAGTTCTTCTCCATGCTGTTGGTTTTATAGTGGTGTAGATAGTGGTAGTAGTAAAGTAAATTTAGCCTACCAAGATAGAGTTTTGTAAAAGTTGGACTGTATTCAAGCATATTGCAAGAATGCTGCACTAAATATTGTTACCTATGTGATTATTCTGCTTGCTTGTCTACATAATTAATTAACTAATTAGTAATGTTATATAATTAATAGGTACTGTAATTAGTAGAATTACACTGTTTCTACACCATGATAATAGTCAAAAAGATTACAAGATTTGTTTTATATTACTAGGAAATCAAGTTGCTATTTTTAGTATAATCGAAATTTCAGTGGTTTTCATTTTTTTGATAACATTTTATTGTTATTCTTTATTTCATTTATTCTGACCAAACATATATTTAACCCCAAAATATTATTACTTATACATCTTCTATACATCTTCTATCTTCTATACAATATGCAAATTATCCTTAATATATAACTTTTGTATGATAGTTAGTAAGGCCTAAAAAAAGAAATGTTATGTTGCCGTTATCCGACGACCCTAAAAACTCGGCTGACCCTAGACATTTTTATTTAAATTTCACACTACAAGTTTACGTGAGCAAAGGGGGGCGTGGTCGGGCGTCATTCGAAATGTTTCAAAAGTAGACCTAGAGCAAAAAATATGACAATTAGGGGCTTTCAAGGTTAATTTAATTGATTTTATAGATTTCAAGGCCAACATAACTTTTTTTTAGACCTAATTGGTAAATTTAGTAGGGACATCTCAATTTGGAGTGTGTGTGTTATAGTCGGATATATAGATCAAAATGCTGCAAGTACTGTACAGAAAAATTATTGGTTTTAATGGTTTTTATTTTCCAATCACTGTTTATTAGAAAACCTGATAGAATTGTTTCAAGAGCTGAAGTCATCATGCATAAAATTGAAAAGGTCTTTTGCATAAATCAAAATTATGCTGACTTTTAACAGTAAGCTGTCTCCCTGGCTGTCAGTCAGTAGGTGGCTTCATCTAAGTGCTACTTCCTTTAGACAGTGTTCTTTGTCTGGCGACACCAATTTCTGAAGTAGAACTTGCCCCTCCCCTGTTATGGGGTGTCAAGTGATGCTGTTATATATGTTAGACAGATGTAGGTGCTTCATCACGTTTCATTCTGACAGTCGAGTGAAAACCGGTTACTGTTTTAAGTGTGCATATAATTTCATTTTATCAATAAATACCTTTTCAAATTAACTTTTAACTGAACTCTGAGACTGTCCAATACCATAAACAAATTAATATAAGCTCTGGGCTTCTTTTTTGTAGGACCCTTGGATTGGCTCTTTCCGAGAATACTTCTGCAAGCTAAAAATGAATGCTGTGATTTGGAATTGCTACTATAATGCATTTTCCAACTATGGAATTTGAAATTCTGTTTAATATTTGTTTTACCTTTAACCATGTTACAATAAAATAGTATTGATACTGACACACTATTATAATCATCAAAGATCTCGAAAAGAAGCTCATACTACCCTTATTAAAAGCCCATGGGCTTCTTTTAGAGGAGATTACTTTTGCAAACTAAAGAGGCAGCTTCTTTTTGAGATAGGTTTCTTCTCGAAATTATGCCCATTAGGCATTCTATTTGAGGTTTTATGGTACAGTATTTTGATTCAACATTTGGAAGAAGTATAAGATAGGAAGTGTATAATGAGCTTTCTTACATTGTATTTTCTGATGCATGCTCTGATACCCACAGCTACTGTAGGTCAATCCAGCGAGACAATTAAATACATGCAAACATTCTGAATTTTCTGAAGATGGGTGAGTTTGTTGACATTTTTTTGCTTGCTGCTGGATTGTTGATTGAGAACTTGCCAGTTTCCAGTAGACTCCTGCGACTCACGGAGGACCTGAGACTCCTGGGAGAGGCTAATGATAATTAGATTTATTCTTTATCCTGAGTAGCCTGTTCATTGCGATCTAAAAGTTTTCCTTCGGAGTCCAGTGAACATAAAACAGTAAATATCTAAATTAATTACTATTTAAAAATATACCCCCTCTGCCGAGCTAAAAAAACATTTGTCTGGAGATGTTCCTGTTCAAATGTCCTTGGTATTTACTCAAGAAATATAAATCAATAAAGATGATGCATCATGAACCTGCATCTAAAAATGAATTAATAAATCACATGGGATTTACAAGCCAGTACTATGAAAAGAAATATCAAATATGTGACCAGCTCTGGCAAAAATTGAGTGGTATCTTTTGATTCTGCATGAATTCTTCTTTAAAACAGTGTTTATTTGATGGAAATTGGTTGAGTATTTGCAAAGTTATGAATATTTAATTCAGTATCAGCCACATAAGTTTCGTGAAAACAGCTTCCAAAAGATTCCAAAATCAGTTTATTAATAAGATTTGTATTTAATAAAAATAATTTAGTATACTTTTCAGTTAGATTTGGTGATAGATATTTTTGAGAAGTGTTGTTCTGCTAGTATGTTTTTTATAAAATGCAAAAACTTGAAAAATTTCAAAATTCTGTTTCTCAAAAAGTTTGGGTGCATGTGCGAAATTGCAAAAAAAAATTTTGAATGTGTATCACTACATGCTCAGTAGTACAAGAACATTTTACACCCTTGCCACCCAATTCATTTTAGAACTTCCATTTGCCAAGATCCCTGCGGCATCAATGCCTCTTATCTTTCAATCCCTGTCAGTCGTTGATCATCTCTTAATCTTCTTTTCATTTTATTGCTTGTCTTGTTGAAATACTGGCATCCTATATTCATTAGGTTTATCTTTTCTTTAAATTATGTACGCCTTCCCTATTAATTCCCCTCTTCTTCTGGGTTCTGTCCCAGTGTATATTTATATCCTCTCTGAGCGATTTGTCACAAGGATATATATAAAATCTAGTTATAATACATGATAATAAAAGCCCACCCGTTGTACAGCATCTACAGTTTGCAGTAAATTAAGCTTTTTATAACTATCTAATCATTTTATATGTACAGTAATTACATAATATGTCTTAATTATGTTTAGTTCATTGTTAAAAGTTATTTGTTTATTATATTTAAAAATAGATAAAAGATAATATTTTCTAAGAGTACAAGTTATTGTAGGAAATGAGAATTACTACTGTATAAAGCTGATATTTATTGGATTTCTTTGTAAAATATTTCAACATAAATTTATTGTTTTCTTAATACATTATAAAACTTTTCAAATTAATATGGAGAATACAGTTAATAATTTAGTATGAATATAGCAAATATTATTAGCAATACAACAAACACACCGTATATAAGACTGAATAACAGGTGCATTGTCTAGGATTAAAATAAACAAAGTACCGGTAAATTAAAGGACATCAAACCACATAATCTAATATAACATTTTGATTATATTATATATTTATATTTTAGACCAAAAAAAATCATTCAGTGTTTGTAAATAAAATTAGTATGGTGCTTTTAAAACTACATATTTAAAGTACTAATTATTATTCATTCATAATTACCAGATTGTTTTCAAGAGAGGTTTATAAACTTTTTGAAATATAAGATTTGTTTGTTTTTCCTCTAATGTATTGTTTTTCTTTAGTACCTTTATTCCATATAAACATACAATTAGAGCAGTATGGTAGGCAACAAGTTGAAAGAAATTATACTTGTTTTGATAGCTATTCCTCAATAACAAACTCCATGTGTTGTAACATAAGTTTGCACAAATGCGAAGTCTCCACTGACTTATCAAGCTAATGTACAATCAGAGAGACCCAAGTAAATTTCCTTTTCCTTGCATTCTCCTGGGAACACACCTGCACTTCTTATACCAGCTCTAAACACTTTTACAGACTTGTAAGTGTTAGTGTAACTTGTAGTACCATAAGTAGGTTATAGGAAACTCTAGATTTACTGCATTTAGTCCCCAATTTAGTCGCTTAATATTTATGCGTTTTGCAAATTTTTCGGTCCTTCATTTTAGTTTATTTATTGGACCACCTGAATTTTAAAGAGAACACAGTATATTATAGTTTAGTAACCAAATAATTGTTTATTACTCTACAATTGAAAAGTTAATTTGAGTTTAAATGTATTTTCCTTTTTTTTGTTGAACTAAATCTTATCTAGTAAATGTTTCAGTTGTGATTTACAATTACCAAAAAAGAGAAGAACATTCACATAAATAATATTAATACAGTACTAACATTTTATTGAACATGCACTTTTGTAGCAGTTCAATAATAATTTCACAGTACAATTTATACAAAAGCAAAGATTCAATAACCAAAGTAACCCAATACTTTTACAGTACAAACATTAGTTACAACTAAGTCTTACTTAAATGTTTTGATTGTGATTTACAGTTTAAAAAAAAATGGTTCAAAAGAAAAGAACATTCACATAAATAATAATACTAATATTTTATTGAACATACACTTTTGTATCAGTACAATCATAAATTCACAGTACAATCTATACAAAAGCAAAGATACAATAACCAAAGTAATACCTAATTTTACAATACAATTTAAACTAAGTATTATTTATGGCATGGTACTCCAAAGTTTTGCAATTATTACATCAAAAATGAAAATAAACTGGAAAAAAAAGACCTAGCATTTTTAATTAAAACAATGATGTACTCAATTAAAAAGGTCATTAAGTTATTAACTTTGATTGTCACACATTAAAACAATTACCTTTTAGCTTATTAACCACCTTTGTATTACAAAAAGTCCTTAAATTAATTATTGTACCACCAGCCAATCTTATACTCTACACAAGGTTGTTACTATATAGTTAACAGTCTGTTAATTGATGAGGACACTTTTTACTCATTCTAATTTTCAGCATATTGCTAATACCTGACAATAATTAAGTGTACAAAATAAGCAAAAATATTAGATTTTAATGAAATGCAACTTCAATAGGAAGGCCCAATAAAAAAAATTATTAGTTTATCACTCTATATATGCTGAAAAAGTGATGAGGGAGGGAGGTTTCATATTTTTTATTTTATTAAAGCCAAATATCAACTTGGGTTGTTTGCTGGTACATTGATATTCCAAGTAAAATACATGATTGAGATAAAACAAACAATATCTACTAATTATTTACTAAAAAAATGTTTAAAATGTCCAAACAATTTTTTTTTCCAAACATTTATTTTTCACTACCGTAGAAGACATGCTGGCGTGGGGGATAAACTAATATTTTTTTTTATTGGGCCTATTTAAATTTATAATTTACCTGTGAAGCTGTTCCAAGTACACCACTTATCCAAGTGAAAAATAAGACAAGTGATAAGTTGGCCATCCTTCGGAAAAATCCACAAGATATAAAGTTTCTCAAAAATGCGGTAAAGTATATTTAAATGTAAAATTCGTGGTAAAATTGTAGCAGATAAGTATTTCTAGTCCTCAAGACACAGTCAGGTTGTGCTGTTTCCTTCACTTTGGTGTATTCCTTTGATATTCTTTGACTTGTCTTGTTCTTTTAAGTTTTACAATGATATGTCATCAATTTCCAATTGTTTTCTTGTTTCCAGTAATATAGTTCACTTGTTGTAACTCTCTTAGCAACTTTCCATTTTGGCGTCTCTAGCAATAGATCTCGAAACTTTTTTGTTAAGTCGTAGTACTAGGAAATTGAATATAAACCAATAGGGAGGAAGTAGAATGATCCATTTTTGAGTAGGGGGTTTCTCAATATTAAATACTTCAAATTCAGAATGAATCAACTTTTTATTGTTTATATAAGCAAAGTGTGTTGTTTTAAAACATAATGTCATATTTTATCATTCAGATAAGATAGATGAGAAATTTTTGTGTTTCTTTTTCATTTTCTATATTTTGCATACTTTCCCAATTTTTACTCCCGGTTGTTGCTGGAGATATTTTATTATCTGAAAATTCAATTATTTGAAATATTTCAAAGTGTCATTCCAGGAAATATGCTTTAATTGTTATAATAAAATCATTTAAAATGATTGAATTACATTTCATTGAGTTTCATTTTTGATTGCCTTATGTGTGCATATGCATAGATTATGTGTTATTTTGTGTGTGAATTAATTTCCCGCATGTGTTTAGGGGAAACATAGGTTTATATAGAATAGGTTTTGTACTTTCGATGTGCTAGGTAAAGTTCAAAATGTCAGTAAATAACATTTAACTGTCATAGTGTGTACAAAGTATGAATAATTACACAGATTTCATTTCATTCAATTGATTTATTTAGTGTAAAAGAAAACAATTTGATTGGTCAATGAGCATACTGTATAAATAATTAACATAAATAGCAACATAAATTGCAACATCTTGATTTAAAAAGTGATGTATTTCCTTTCAGTTAGTTAATTATTAATTCAAAAATTATTAATTAATATTTTTAATTATATATATATATTTCATTTATAAAGG